ATATTGAGGTGAGCAGTTTCGAATGGTTCTGCTTTTAGTTTTTAAATTTGTTTAATTGCTTACCCGCAAAGTATAGAACTGCAGGCGCCAAGGCATCGAAAGTTGCAAAAAGCATATCGCGAGCTAGAAAACAAGTTTCTCCGGCAAAAGGGACTCTGGAGTGGATGAGCCACTCATCATGCGTGAAAAGTTGGAATCGTACGGTCAGAGAGTGTCATGCATACGTAAGAGCGCAGAAAACCCCTGACGTGGTTGAAGGGACTGGGTTCAAGTTGTCTTCAGACCGTCTTATAACCCTTTTTAGGGGTGTTGTTCACCTGCATCACCTGTTATCCCGTTGGTCATCGAAACTGAGCGGGCGCAAGTAACGTCCCTATTTGCCCCTGTCGCGAGCCAGGGTAGTCTAATGGAATGTCCTAGCGTGGGTCAGACAGGCTTCTCATTCCTTTCTGCTGCGCTTCCGTAAAAGAACTGTGATTATCGGGGCGGCAGTTAGAAAGAAGGTTTCCCACTAAATCTTCAAACCCTTGATAAATACCGCAGCGTCCTTGATCTTCGAGTGTCGACCGAGTTTCGGAACACTGGATTCCCCTTCAAACTTGCATGTCGAGAAACCTCAAGCATTATCTTCTCCACAAATGAATGGCACTGATTTCATGCTAATCGTGCTTCTCAGAGTTCTGGTCACTGAGGTGTAGGAAGGACTGTAGAGCTGAAGAAGTGAGCACAGAGCCAGATGTCCTCCGCCTTCTTTATTACTCCCTTGATGCTCTTAAATGCTGTCCAAGGCTTGTTTTCTCTGCTTAATTCGGAAGCCTGACAGGTGTGTTGGATTACTTGTGAGAGAAAGCGAGTAAACGCCTACCTTTCCAAACGCTGAATGAAAGTATTGCTACCAATCTGGCGAATCGGTAGGGGAGGAGAATGCAGCCAAGATGAGGAGAGAGTTCGGTGGATTCTTCTACATTCCCAGTTTGTCAAATCGATACTTAAACATTCCACGGCGTTCACCTTCTCGCCCTCCAATTGTCCTTGAGTCCTGTTTTCTTGTTCTCCAATGTCCAATGTGTGAACAAGCTTTACAGCTCTACAGTAGAAAGTTCCTCATGATACGAATGGCTCCCGGAGTGAAATATGAAGTTGTAAATAAATAAATGTTAATATGAACTATTTTTTTATTAAGGCTTCACTGTGGTTTACCAGCACCAGCTCGGTTGATGGG